AAACAATGTGTTCTACGTGTGTTGTATCATTACATGGATCCCACATTGAAAAGCCCTTTAAATTCATAGTAAACCACAAAACAGAGTTCTTTGTAATTCGCCAAAAGTCACTTCGCCTTCCTGTCTTGAGTATCCCAGCTGAGTGCTGCAAAATATAAAATAATTCCACTTTGCAAAATTCTTGGCGTTATACTGACCTGAAATGTCTAAATAGTCCAAGTGCGGACATTTTGATATAACTTCGAACAACGCATCGTTTGTGATCTGGTAACAGAATGATAACTCTAAGTGTTGCAACTCAGGACACCGACGACTTATTTCGTATAATCCTCGGTCAGTGAGCCTTTCGCAACCGCTTAATATAATCCTTTCCACCGTTAAACACACGTACGGCGTCTGTCGGCAGAGACGTTTTGTAAGTACTCTTAATGCACGATCAATGTTTATAAAATTTCCTTGCAGTTTTATTTGTCTCCATAGCAACGGTTGCCAACTGAGGTGATACCACATACGACATACTTGCGAAGATTTACATATGTCTAGTGTCGTTAAATACGAGAATATTTTGACAATAAGCACATCAGATAAAGTGTCAAAGATGCATTTCTCGCCGACTTTAATCCTCGTCTTTTTCCGTGTTGCACGCTTTTCGATTCCGGTGTCACTGGCAGTGCTGGAAGGGGGATCTGTGCTAGATACATTGCCACTGGAGAGATGACCATTGGACGCAATACCCGAGTTCATGGAAAGGTCACGATCCACAGGAAAATGATCTAGAAGTGGTAAAAGCAGAAAATTAATAATGTTAAAACAAAATATTTGTTCCCATGGAAACAGTGCTTGTCTTTGCTATAATAACAATATACATATGTCACATGACACCTGCATTGAGCACAACACAGCACTAGCAGACTTTCTCGTCCAATTTTTTCAGCACTTTTTTCTTATATTCTTCAATATTTCTGAAAATGGACCCTGATTTTGAAGTCAACAGACACAATTTTAGTCAGTTTCAGTTTTTACTCAAAAAATTTGGACAGTTCAGACTATAAACGGGGATGTTTTGTGAATTTGTGATGAAAAGAGGGAACTGGTGGTGAAAAGGTTAATTAAAGGGCCTTGATCACCACAGCACATTTTCGAATTTTGTGTAAACAAACACCTTATTTTACACATAATGGTTGTATACATTACTACCGTAATGTGACCCATATCGAACATGACACAACGCAATGATCACCACATTTTAACACTTCGAACATTAGAATTTTTCTAACTGAAAAATTTTGATGCAACATTTAGCCTATTTTTAAGTATTTTTTCATAATATCATTGTAAAAATGTTCTATTACCTACAGGTCAAGATAAAAAATGTGTGAAAAATACAACTTTATTTTATTTTATTTTGTGAATGATGACAAAAGTCTACTTTTGGTTAATACACGATGTCATTTTCCAGATTAACTATATGTAACATCAGTGTGCCCTCAAAAACCAATATGGTGTGCCACAGATTTGCTATGATGCACCTAGTTAATAATTAATTTAATAATTAATAATTAATTTATGCAACGGAAATAATAATCTTACTATATACAGAATTTGTAATTTGGTAGAATAAAATATATGAAAATCAGAGGAAACAACATTTCCGTCTGTGACTCGCAAGTCACGCACTCATGATTGTCACATTAATATTTATATTCAACAAACTTTATTTTTTGGTGGGGGAGGGGGTGATCTGGGATCCCTACAAAATCTGTCCTGTTAGAAGGCACCGTGTGGAACATGTAGATGCCAATTAATTTTGAACAAAAATATCTTAAGGTAGCGGGACTATTATTTGCATACTTGTTTTCATCTTCTAATTGTGACTAAATGACTACAAATAGACCCAGGAAAGTATATATTTTTAGAACCGTCAGACTTCAAGCTTTTCACAAGTGTATTTTGCATGCCCGTATCTGCATTCTACGACGCATTACTCAATCAAAGGTGAAAAATTACTTTTTCTGTAAAAAAAATAATTACGCATTTATGCTGGCGATAAGAAGTATTTTTTTCACTTTTCCTAGTTGTTCAATAGTCTGGTAAATTGAATGTGTCTGGTCAGTTTTATTCAAGCAACGCGTTTTAAAAAATAGTGTGCTGAATTTCAATTACTGTTTTAGTGGCATTGCCCCCAACTCAAACCACAACTCGTTGGTAAATAATCGATGAAATAGTTTGTCTGGACACAATTAAGTTCCTCTCACTGTCACCTTAAAGCTGTGAAAATTTGGTGTTAATCCGACGATAATAAGTATACCTTATTTTT